CACACTGAAACACAAGACTTAAAATGGTGGTAGCTTTACTAAGGCTTAAATATCACAAGACTCCAAGGCAACCACATTTCAAAATAAAATTAAAATGTCTTCAGTTTTACAGGGAAGATTATGTTTAACCTAAAAACTCCAACTGGTTTCGGCACACGGGTCGTCATCAGGGAGTAAAACAGAGTCAATGAATCGTTTCTAGTGGCATTCCACCAATCGGGCCCTTCCACCTGAGGTCTTCCTTTATTAAGATGTTTAAAAAATATAATAAAACCTCACAGTATCAAATTATTGAAGAAGAGCACTTTGAAATCAGGCTGCACTTGTGGTTCCAAGATTTACTAAAAGTAAAATGGGAGGCAGAGCCCTCAGCTATCAGGGCCCCTCCTCTGTGGAAACAGCTCCCAGTTTGGCTTTAGGGGAGTATAGTTTTAAAATTAGGCTTTGAACCTTCTTTTGTTTTTGTTTTGAAAAAGCTTATAGTTAGAGCTAGATCCGCTTTAGTGATGCTGCTATAAGCTCAGGCTGCTGCGAGGCTTCACATGATTCACAAAGCAATCCTTCTATTCTCCACTAATTGAGGGATGATGCTCCCATCCCTCAGCCGGTCATGGCAGATGGCTGCCCCTCCCTGAGTCTCTTCCTGTTAAAAGGCAGTTCTTTCTTACCACTCTCACCAAGTGCTTCCTTGTGGAGGATCATGTGACTATGTGCTACATTAAAAGAAAGAAAGAAAAGAAACCGTGTCTGACAGCTATATGGGAAATTCTGCGATTACATAATGACTGAATAATAAATGAAGTCCTCAGCGTTGTGCCACCTGCGTGCACATCTGAATCCTACAAAACAGTAAAAAAAAAAACCCAGCTGGAACAAGAAACAGCTCCTGCTAACATCTGGCTTATAAAATCGTCTTGCTTATGCTGAAAAGTGGAAAAATGTGACAGCTAATACTAAAAAAGCTTAAATCATACATGGTCTTTTCATTAATTAGTAAGTTGTTTGGGCCTCGCTCTTTCATGGGGCAGTGTAACGCATGTGACATGAACTGTAATGCACCATAGTTGTCAAACCTGTTTAAGAGTCATGAAACTGGTGGCACAGGAGCCTATAATGACAATGCTTTGCTGACACAGTATTTTCTCACGGGCATTAAAAATAAACAGGACAGGTGAGTCTTTTTCCCCCTCTAACGTATCAATGACCTTCAGACAGCAAACACAACTCGCAGGAAAAGTCATGTTGTCGTTGCTTTAATACAACCACAGATCAGCCTACTCTCAACCTGCTCTGCTCTTCGAACTCTGAAGCCATCGTTGATTTTTATGCTGCAGTCAGTAAATATTTGTCGAGTTTATTATGAATGACCAGACTGGGTTTTCATCCATTGTGTTCAGGCACCAATATCATACATTCATTCACATGTTCAAATGACAGCCTCCAATATTCTCACATTTTTAAAGTCAGATTAAGATGAAATACAAAGTGTGTGTTAAGTGCTCAAAAATCTTTCCTGTGTACTCACCACATGAAGAAGCTGGGACCTGCTGTGAGAGCAGAGATCTGATTGTGGACATCGGGATGAGAGCAAACAGGGTGAGTGCACGAGCTGCAGAAAAAGTTCATGATTAACATTTTGTTTCATAATGAATTCTTCAAATCCGCCAAACCCAACCACAGCTATGCAGCTACTGGTGCCCATTCTGGGTAAGAATGGTCGCACCTGGTGTTTAAACAAGTTTAATTTTTAATCCGGCAGTGCTTGCTTTAAAACAATGTCCCAATTCATATGTGTGCTAAAATTCAAGCTGTTTATTCGAGTTACGTCAGACCTAAAACACCACCATGAATCATAAAAAAGTAGGAACCAACCTGATTTGGTAATTAAATGTAATGTTCTTGTTGACTGCCTGTGTGCATATAACATGCTTCCTGCAGGACAGCACTCTAAGACTAAGGGGGAAAAAGTGTTTATGGCTTATAATCACTCCTAGTTCCTTGTTTTGGTTCCTACTTTTTTATGATTCATGGTGGTGTTTTAGGTCTGACGTAAACTCGAATAAACAGCTTGAATTTTAGCACACAAACTTATTTTGCTTGCTGAGTCAAACTTTCTAATCCATCAAAGCATAAACACAATTTTTTTGCCATTTGCTGTTTGCTGTGCGAACCACTTGGCAAAGTAAAAATAAAAGTAACGATTGGAATCTGAACACGCAGCTCTTCTGGGAACTAAACCTGATCTGGTTTTTAAACAATACCAAGTGTCACATGAAGAACAGGTTAGGAGCAGTCCCATAACTGGGCCTTTGTTGCTTTCAGCGTCTAATTTTTTTATTTTCTCACTTAAAAACACATTATTTTAGGGCAGCTTTTCATCTTTATTTGACATGACTGAGAAGAATACTGGAAAGTGGGGGAAAACACACAGCAAAGGGTCCTAGGTTAGG